GTTTTACAGATAACAAGGTGATTTTGTTTTGCAATGAAAGATCCTTAAGGATAATCTGAATTCATTTAATTGGAGGAAAATACTCGACTATTTAATTAATAGTTAGAGGAATGTATTCAGTAATTCTTCCAATTTTATCTTTTTTTTTCTGCTGTTTTTGTAAAATTAACTCAGTGTACTCATTTCGGTTTCTGATTTATTTTTATTTTTGTGTCTCTATGTGTGCCTTTGTGAATTTATGTGTACTCATTGACTCATTGTTGACTGTGGAGGCCAAAGGGCATAAGATCCCTGGAACTGAAGTAACAGGCAGTTGTGTTTGTGTGTGTGTGTGTGTGTGTGTGTGTGTGTGTGTGTCTGTCTCTCTCCAGGGTTTCTCTGTATTACCTTGGCTGTCCTGGACTCACTCTGTAGACAAGGCTAGCTTCAAACTCACAGAGATCCACCTGCCTCTGCTTCCCTGAGTGCTGGGATTAAAAGTGTGCCCACCACAGCTCCATTAATTCACCCAAGATATTTACTTAATGAGATTCCACAGTGAGCTCCAGGCTGGCCAGCACCAGGGCTATTTATACTTTGTCTCAAACAAAGATGTTACTACATTTGGACACACTAGGAAACAAAACCACATGTTTAGGTCACAAGGAAGATCCCAACAAGGCTGAAGCTAGAAGAGTCATCTGAACTCAAAACCTCCCGAACCATGCCAATTAACTGCTGCACTTTGAATCTGCACTGTCCCCTGAAGTTCTTTGTGATAGGGATTTGGTCCTCAGCTTGCCATTGCTCAGCTGAAAAAAAAAAAAAAAAAAAAAAAAAAAGAATGCTGAGAAGTCTCCTGGGAGGTGTGCCAACAGTGGGTACTACAGGGCCCCATCTCTTCCTGGCCACAATAGAGCAACTTCCCTCTACAGAATAATCCCTGTAAGAGATGCTGCCTCAGCACAAAAGTAATAGAGCCTTCAAATCTTCGAGCCAAAGTGGGCCCTTTTCACTTTATAAGCTTGTCACCCGGGGTAGCAGCCACAGTGGAAGAAAGTTAACGTGTTAATAACTGTAAACGATGGATTTTATATACATATTAAATAAGCTAACTTTGGACTTGGGCACAGTGGCACATAACTACGGTCCTAGCTTTAAGAGGATCACTTAGGCCTAGGAACTTGACACGAGCAAAGGGAACACAGTAAGACCCTGCCACAAAATAAATAAATAGGCTTATCTTATACACTAATAAGAAGTCAATAGGACAGGGTTTAAGATTACCAGAGAAGATAGTCTCTAAGAAGATTAACTTCTAGGGAAGGATAAATTGGAGACAGTAAGGTGAGTACCTCCTCTACTGTTATCAGAGGGAGTGCAGACAAGCTGTTTCTCTGCACAGAAGATGGTCTTGCCAAGATTGGTCTTCATGCCCACACACCTGGACCCAGAGCCTGGCTAAGCTCAAGTTCAAGGTGGTATAAATAGTGAGTTTGTCTCAACAAACGAAAAACAAAAGCAAACCTGCTTAAACCGTGTACCGGTTTTGTAATAAAACACCATGACCAAAAGCTCATAAAAGGAAGAATTCATTCTGGTTTATGTGTCCAGAGGGAAAGTCTATAATAGTCAACAGGCGGCCAGAGTAGGAAGCTGAGAGGTCACCTCCTCAACCACGAATGTGAAGCAAAATGAGTGAACTGGGAATGAGGCAAGATGCATACATACACAGTAATAATAAACCCTTTTAAATGGCTGAGGAACCTAACTCCTACAAAGCAGCTTTGGAACCTTCTGAACCTAACAATGAATAATCTCAGTAAGATGACAGCTCTGCCTATGTAAGTGTTTAGTTCATGGGGCCGCTTCGATGGCTCAGTGGGGAAGGCTGCTCACCAACAAGCCTAACAACTGAGAACCAACTGGCCCGTGCTAGCCTTGACCCTCCAGTGTACAAGATGGTGCGGTCACACAGACAAAATGAGCAAATGTAACATTCAAAAAATGTGAGTTAAACAGGTATTAAAACTATTTTCGAATCTGTCCTGATATATTTCCACAACCTTTGGAAGATAATAGAAAACAAGCTCATTCTGAAAACTCTTAATGCGGTACTGAGCAGCAGCCATGGGCAGAGTTCCCCCTCGTTTTTTGTTTGTTTGTTTAAGTTTTGAAACTTTATTATTAGGGGAAGGAAAGTACACTTGCTGCCCTTGCGAAGGACCCAGGTTTGGTTCTCCACATTCACATGAAGGCTTACAACCATTCCTAATTCCGTTTCCTGAGGACCTGGTGTCCTCCTCTCATCTCCAAGTGCAACAGGCATACTTTGTGGTACATGTACATATACAAAGGAAACATTCATGCATATAAAAATATACTATGTGTATACTATTTGTATACAGAAACTTACGTGACACATGTGTATGTGGAGGTCAAAGGAGAACTTTGTGAAGTCAGTTTTTTCCTTGAGCCACTATGTGGTTTCTGGCTAATTTTCACCTCAATTTAGAAATGCCTTCACAAGGTCAGGTTGTAGGCAAGCCTCTAAGACAGCTTCTTCGATAGTGATTGATGGGGGAGGGCCCAGCCCTTTGTGGATGGGGCCACCCTGGGCTGGTGGTCCACTGTTTTATAGGAAAGCAGGTCGAGCGAGCCTTGAGGAGCAAGCCGGTCAAGAGCATATTCCAGCTCTGACTGCTTTTGATGAACTGTGATGTGGAAGTATTAAGCCCAATACATCCTTTCTTTTGGTTGTGGTGCTTTATCACAGCAACAGAAACCCTAAGACAAGGACATCGCTGCCACCTGCCCCCACTAACACAGTGGGAAGGGGCAAAATGTATGAGCCAGAGGATGGAGTGGAATGTGAGACTCTGCGGCAGGCATACCATTGCCACTGCACTTGAGCTCACAGACAAGACGGGGTCTGTTAACACTTCCCGAAAGGGCAAGGGCTTGTGAGGACTTAAGGCAGTCAATGGTTGCTGGAGAAAGACGTTTTCTTCACCACTGATAAGGTAGTTCACATCTTTAATTCAAATGATGAAGGTAAAGTTAGTTGGTAAAAGGATGCAGCCATGTTGGAAAGTGATGCCTAATTGAGAAGCAGACAAAATGACAAATCAGAGAAAGACCTGACAGAATAGGATATGCCCTACTCTCAGAACAGAGAGGAAGGCCAGGTGACTTTAGAGGGAACAACGCAGTCAGAACAGGCATTTTTTTCCAGGACAGTTGTACAGGGACAGGTTGCAAAGAGCACAAGCTTGACACAGGTGAAGACAGAACAAGCCAGAGAATGAGCCAGAAAATTAGGATTGACAAAGCTAGTATGAGGCCAAGCAGAGCAATTCAGTGAAAAGCAGAGAAGCTAGTTTGAATCAGTCACCTTGTAGCTAGGGATGATTTTGAACTATTAACCTCAAGTGCTGAGATTACAGGTGTGCACCACTGTAAATTATTGTTGCTTTTTTTTTTCTTTTGGGTTTTCAAGACAGGGTTTCTCTGTGTAGCCTTGGCTGTCCTTGACTCACTTTGTAGACCATGCTGGCTTTGAACTCACACAACTCCGACTGCCTCGGCCTACAGGTGTGTGCCACCAAGCCAGGCTTCTTGTTACCTTTGTTGTCTGTACGTCGTGAGCTTCCTGTGCGCATGCGGGTTCTGGAGTTCACAGGTGGTCAGGCTTGGCAGTGTCTTCCTCTAGCCATCCCACCAGGCTGACTTTATGTGTGCTCGAGCTCATCTCTCATCCTCGGTCCCTCCTTCAGTTCCCTTCCTCTTCTAAAGCAGTTCCCTACTGTTACGGCTGGTTTGGGATTTGGTTATTTGTTAGGGGTGGCTTGTGCGCTGTGTATTTTAGATGCTGGTTTCTGTGCCCCGAGGTCTGGTTGCAGTCTGGACACGGGCATGGTCCTGTCTATGAAGAATCTCCTGTGCCAATGTTGTGTAAAACTTGTTCTCCAGCATCTCTGATTGATTGGTTAATAAAGAGCTGAACAGCCAGAAGATGGGCAAGAGTTAGGGCTGTACTTCTGATCCCAGGGAGAGGGGTCCCAGGTAGAGCAGAGGTAACCAAGAGCCATGAGGATGAAGACGGAGCAGGAGCAGCCAGGCAAGACAGGATGGCAGGTAATGATTAACAGTTAATAGTACAAAGTCATTCCTAGCTACATGCGTTCGAGGCCAGCCTAGTCTATATAGTGAGTTCGACACCAGGGCTGCGTAGAGAGATCCCGTCTCAAACAAAACAACAGAAATCTCTGGAGAGAGGGTTCAGAGGTTAAAAGCATCCACTCCTCTTCCAAGTTCCACACCCACACAACTCTAGTTCCAGAGGATCCAATGCTCTCTTCTGGTCTCTGAGAACACCCACACATACGTGCACATGCACATGCACACAAACCGAATCTTAAAACCATACAAGGCCAGTTTTAGCTACAACTGGGCTACACAACTCTGTCTATAGCAAACAACATTAGCCTTCTGTTCTTCTTAAAAATGTTTTTTCCCTTTAATGAACAGTAATGGAAATCCAACAAAACACAAACAGATGACTATATATAAAAAAATAAGTAAAAAAGAGGCAGATTAGAATGCAAAAATCAGGTCGGTGTAGTGGTACAAATCCCAGGACTTGGGAGGAAGAGAAAGGCAGATCTCTGCCAGCCTGGTCTACAGAGTGAGTTTCAGGCAGCCAGAACTACACAGACCAAACCCTGTCTGGAAAAACAAAAACAAACAAAGAAATATAATAGAATGCAAAATTCCAAGAAAAATATACTACCAACAAATCATGGAAATCATGTATGGTTTCTTGACAGTGCTAAGAAACAAAGCAGTGGGAAGCAAGAAGGCTCAGCTGGCGGCGAGTTACCACAGAGCCTGACAACCTGACCCACAGAGTGGAATGAGAGCCAATTCCCAAAGGTCCAACCACACGAGTGCTGTGGTATGCATATGAGCCCTGCTCCCCCACATACAAAGTAAAGAAATGGGAAAAAAGTAGCACACAGTTGGTTTTAAAGTGGTGTCTTTATTAATAAATATACATCCATATGATGATGTAGATACAAATCATGAACACTACTCCATTCCATACACATAATTGCACACGAGTAGCTCAAGTTCATGGACATTAAAACATACACAGTATCTATTCAGACTTTTTACAGCAGAGGACAACGTGCTTATTATCAGTTAACTAGTAATTGCTTCACAATTGTCTGTGGAAGAAGGAGGTTGTGAATCAAAGAATTGAGTGGCCTGATTAAATCACACAATTGACTCACTACAGCATCACTTCTCAAAAACTTAAATACATTGTATGTGAGAGCATACATTTGTCTACTTGGAAGGAAAGGGGAGAAAAGGAAAGGAAAGATTTAGATACATCTTAAGAGTTTGAGCGCAGTCATTACAATAACAATAAAAGAGCACCAAACCTTTTTATGCCCAAAACTACTATGAATTATTATTTTATTGTAACAGATCATAAAATTTTACTGCATATAGACAAGGAACTGCCAGAGCAGTCATCAATATCCCCTGAACTGTTATTTTAAAGCTTCTAAAAGTATAAAGAAGGTCACCGTTTAAACTCATACTATGGTCATTCTTACACTGGATGAAGCAACCTTAACCTCATAATAAATTGATCCAGATTTTACTTCAAAGAAATTCTATTATTTCATGAAAAAATATATATGAATTCACACAAACACTAGTTTGAAATGAATAAATACCACTTTGACAGATGATTCTTTTTAAAAAGTAATTAAAAATACAAAGGATTGTTAGTCTGATTTAAACACTGATTTAAAAAAAAGTTCCCAAATATTAAAAATCAAACCAAATACTATTTAACTTTTCAATATAGTGTGCCAATATATATATTTTTAAATATCCAGTGCAAAACTCCAAAGATAGTATCAAAATCACCCCGTACTAAAGAGTAGTTAGACAAGGCGATACCTGTGGAAAATGAAAATTTCATCTGTATTGACTCCTTATTTGTTATGATAATAATAAATAAGGCATGTTAAAATATCCTTTTAAGAGAAAAGTAAAACAAACTTACTTGAATAGATCATTTCTGACAGTTTTAATATAGAGTAGTGAAACCTATTTTATGAAGAATAGAATCACGCAGTATAAAATTAGCAATTTACCTTTTAAGGAACAACTATACACTGGGGGGAGGCAACTGTTTAACATGCTATTTCAGTGTCTGTCATGACAAAAGACCATGTTAACAAAAGATGCAGAATGTAGTCTTTAATCATGTAGAAGTAAAAATACTTTTTATGTGAAGACTTCATTCCCGTCATCACTTCTGTCTCTCCAGCATGGCACAAGCAAACTGTCCACAAGATGTTCACCCGTGCGCACACTTAAGTGTTCCAAGTAACTGCTCACAGGAACAGTACTGCAGTTTTCTAAATGATGCTAGGCATTCACAGCTGTAGCCATTCATCCCCCTTTCCTGGGGTAGAGCTCCAGATAGAAACACTGTTACAAACATGCCTCCTCACACTGATGTCCCATTTCATGATCATGTATATGAAACTCCTGCTACAGTAACACACCCACTCTGACACTCTGCCTTGCACTACTGAGTAGATGTGCTGAGAGCTGAGGGAAAGGGACAGGTGTGGGAAAGGGCAAGGAAGCAATGGAAGGGTATAAAACCAGGAACGAAACTGAAAGGATGGCAAGTAGGCTTACTACGCGCCCAAATCCTTGACAGCGGCGAGCACTATTCTACAGCAGAGCACTTCATCTGTCTGCAAGAGCTACCCATGCAGGATTTCTAAGAGCCAGCTGCTGAACAACTTCAGAAACAGCTAAGTGACAGATATTCAACTGACCAGATGAACAAACAAATAAGATGTAAGCCTTTGTGTGTGTCAGAAATTACACTTTCTGAGTAAATTATTAAAAGTTTTATAGTCTAAGCTTCTGCAAGAGGAAACTCTTGAAGCACTTTAGCTGCCTGAATGTCACAGCTGGTTATATAGTCACCCAACTTTGTGCACTGTTCTCTATGGTTTGTGCAAAGCCAGTACTGTTGAGGCCACTGTCCCCGCATGCAATGCAACACAAAATACTGCAGGAGCAGAAGCCCAGCTGTGTGTCAGCTATCTATCACAGAGGCACCTGAGGTTTGCTGCTTGCCTCCTGATAAAGGTCCGAAACATGGTACTCACATGCAGTCAGTTTGCACGGACCAAGAACAAGCCTAACCAACAGGTATGTGTCCTTCTAAATTAATTTCTGATTATTTTTAAAGTTTTTTAAGTCCTGTAAATCTACATTTTAATCTCAAAGGCATTTCAAATGCAAGTAAAAAGCATAATTTTTTAAGTTCAGTGAAAGCTTTTCTTTCTTTTTTGTTTTGCTTTTTTTAAAGACAGGGTCTTTCTGCCTAGAACTGGCTGTCCTGGAACTTACCACGCAAATATCAAACTCACAGACCCACCTGCCTCTGCCTCCCAAACTGGGATTAAAGGCACATGGCACCACACCAGGGAAAGCTTTTCAATTCCAAAGTGTTAAGTATTTTACTTAGAACAAACTCAGAATAAATAAAATGTATATTAACAGAAACTACTTCGGAAAGGAAGAAGCCTTCATCCCGTAACAATGCCCACGTGCCAGCATTTGTCTCTCTTCCATACTGAGCTGAAGGCGTGCCTCACCAGGAAGAGGCAATTATCCTGGAGCCACAATGCCATTTTTAACCTAACTAGCACTCGGTTTACAGGGTTTACACATACTGAGTTCTTGCATTTCTTAGTTTCTAGGTCTTGATAGCCAAGAAACTGCTTTCTGCCTAGACTAGTTTTGCAGCCTACCACTCAATTTGTGTCCTTTGGTAGATATAAACCAGAAAATGCAGTTAAGTTCTAATTACTCAGAAGAACTAAAAAAACAAACAAAAACATTCTAAATAAATGAACAATACTAATAAATGTTTTAAATATAATATTTGAATTAATATGGAAACTCACTAAGTATATGAAAGATAAAACAGAATGATTATAGTTACATGCAGACCCCTAAGGGTTCTTTTTGTATATTAAATATAATGTGCATGTATATGAAGTATTTAAGGACTTTGCTGTAAGTATGATTTGTTTGTAGTGTTGTGGTGTATATGCTCTTAGGCAACTGAGAAACACATAACTTGTAACTATAATCTCCGAAAGGCAGGTATTAAACAATGCTTTAGGAATAATGATCAACTAATGTCACGTGAATCAATAAATAAGCTGTGTCTTATTCACGAAAGCTCTAAACTCACACAGCCATCCCATGTAATCTGTTCACTAGTTGCTGTTTGGCCCCATCAATTATAATGCCTCAGGTAAAACTTTATTACACTGTGGTTTACTCACAAAAGCTAACTGCGGCAGCTGCTAAGCAGGTGAGGCTTCCACTTAGAATGGCACAAAGAGAAACAAAACTGACTTAGCCGTGTTGTCTGAACCTTGTGCAATACAGATAAAATGTACTACTCCTGCCCAAAGTGCATCTGCCAACACGTGGCAGCTTCTGAGCAAAAAAAAGAAAGGAAGAAAAAGAAAAACAAACTTGGGAAGTCCAGGTGGTCAAGTCATGTCAAATTACAGCAAGAGGCTTTGGGGTGACTCTCTCCTGCCTCGATTACTCACTAGGTGGCTTGACTTCCCCGCCACTTTCCTGAACCCCATGAACTGCCCGGCTATGCATCATAGGGTAAGGGAAGGCAGCAGTGCCACAACCATAACCGAAATCTGCAAGCCGGGACAGCGCTTTAATGCTGCCTGGAGGTCTCCCTGGGCTGACCTTGTATCCTGCAGCTTTGGTTGTACCCAAAGGTCTGCCTGGACTTGTTTTAAATCCAGCTGCTTTGGTGGTTCCCAGAGGTCTGCCTGTGCTGGTCCGGTATCCTGCTGACTTGGTGGTTCCTGAAGGCCGGCCACGCTTACCAGATCGGTTGAGGTTTTTCTTTTTCTTCAGTTCATCTTTTATCTCTATGTTTCTGCCACTGGTGGGCTGCAAGTGTGTTTCGTTTAATGGGTCTTGCCTCTGACAAACCATTGGTTTGTGGCTGACTGTGTGGCTGTATTTGCTTTGCTGAGAGGAATATAGATCAAACTGATCAGCTGCTCTCATGGCATCTTCATTGAGGCAGGAAGGCTTGCCAGGCCCACAGAACGCTGGATTACTGCCGGCCACAGGATGCATCATTTTCTACCAAAAATAAAGACAAATATATATGAATACCTATCTGTATGACTGTATCCGTAGGAAAATCATCTTTCAACAACTATTACAGACAAACACACAGTGTTTCATGACAACCTTCCCACACTCACCTAACTGAAACACTTGTTCCTGGAGGATGGAGGCCAAGAAGATTCAATTAAGTGAAAAGCTTAGAAAGCGCCAGCAAATCAAGAGATTTACTTCCCCCCCCCCCCAAGTTTACAAAAGCAGGAAGCAGCTGTTAGGGAGAGAAAGACTCAAGAGGACCCAGCCACCTGCAAGTGGAAGGATGCTCTTAGCAGCTATGACCCCACACTAAGGCAGGCTGCTCAGCATTGCAGCGGCCCCCGAGTTACCCCCAAACTCCCTGTTCACTAAGCCAACTTTGGTCGCATTCTTTAATTTGCCAGGGCCCTATCTAGGATGTAAAAATGTTGTCCATGGCTCCCCACAAGTCACACAACAAACAGCATCAAAGAGTGATAGATTTCTCAATTACAGGCAGGAACAAATGTCATATAAGATCACTTATTTAAAGAGGCTGGAGCAATACCTCATCAGGACTGTGGTAGCACACACCTTTAGTTCCAGCACTTGAGAGGCAGAGGCAGGTGAATCTCTGAGTTCAAGGCCAGCATGGTCTAAACAGTGAGTTCCAGGACAGAAAATTCCAGTCCCAAAAAACAAAACAAACAAGCAAAGAGGACACGTCAATGCTCTTGCAGTGGACCCAGGTCCAGGTCCCAGCACCCACACAGTGACTCACAGCATCCACAATTCTAGTTCCAGGGGACTGACATCCTCTTCTGATCTCTTTGGACACCAAGCATGCACATGGTAAACATTTATACATGTAGGCAAAACAGCCATACACAGAAGTTTTTAAAAATCTAAATTCTTTTGAATTTAACTTTGAGTTTTGAACACTAATTTAATAGCCATAATATTCTGATTATGGTTGCTATAAATAAAAAAAAATGAATTATTTTGTAGGCTTTATTCCTTTTAAGTTATTAAACCCTAGAAAGTTAAATGTTAAAAACCAGAACAAGAGCCAAAAAGATGGCTCAGCAGGTAAAGCTGCTTGGCACCAAGCCTGACATTTTAAGTTCAATTTCCATGACCCCAAGGAAGAAGAATACCCTCTCAAGTTGGCATGACACCCACATACTTGCACAACACAGGCACGCACACACAAACACAAATAAATGTTAAAATATTTTTAACAGAAACAAAAACAAGAACCCAGAACTCTCATTAAATTTTCCATGCCTAATCTTGGAATGCCTTCCCTGAGTACTGAAGCACATCCTCACATGCACGCTCTTACCCTGATCAGTTTCCACAGATACTCAGTCATTATGGTAATTTATTATTTATACAGAACCCTGAGTGTGTGTTACACTTTTCAAAAGCCAGACAGTGTCAAGCAAGGAACAGAAGTGTTCGCCCAGAAAAAAATTCCTTCCATAGCCTATCCAAACAAAAGGCAGTATCAACCCAGAAGACAAACAAAGGTTTCTATGAGTGAACACAGATAAGTACATACACAGTCAAGACTTGAACTTCAAAAACAAGGGTAACAATCAAACACCATCTACACCCAAGACAAAAGCTTAATGCCAAACAGATCATTACAGGGCATGCCATCTTCTTGCTTTACAGGAGCCCTGAACAAGTCCAAAGTTACTGTTGTGTCTGGGAAGACTCTTCCTGCGATTATTTTCTTCTATATAAGACTGTACCTCACATGGGCAATGAGTTTTCTAGTGTACTGTAATGCAAGAAAGACAAAGCCATGAGCTCCAATTCAGTTTAAAAGAGAACTACATGTGCACATTAAGGTCCACTTGATGAAGCATCCTTCACATATATAAAACTGCAACTCCTCCCAGAGATAAAAATAGGGAGCTTACTTAGCTCATGGAAAGCACAAGGAAATAAGATTCATGCCATAGAGGCACACATTGCTGAACTAAGTGTCTGCTGAGAATCAATAGCTGGTTTAACGTTTCAATTATCAAGTATAAGTACACACTGAGAAGCTATGTCTTTACGGCCACATCAACAGACTTGAAATTATGAAACAAGTCAAAGCAAAACAAGATAGTAAAAGGAATACTTTTTACTCACTTCTCAAAGATATAAGCACTGACTATTAACACTTACTTCACTAGCTTCAATTCTAATTTCAGATAAGAAATAGAACCTTTAATCCCAGGACCCAGGAGGCAGAGGCAGGTGGATCTCTGAATTCATGGCCAGCCTGGTCTACAGGAGTTCCAGGACAGCCAAGGAAACCCTGTCTTGGAAAACAAAACAAATAAAACAAAAACAAAAACAAACAAACAAAAAAATAGACCTTCAAGGTAAGTTTAAAACACAGCATTAGCCTAAAGTTGGTTTCTAAGCATTTTCAACATGCCAGGCACTTTGCACATAATCTTCAGTGCATGCTCTGTTAAAGAAACCAGGAACAGGGAGGCCAGGCTTGGTGGTGCACAGCTGTAATCCCAACAGTCTAGGAGGCAGGGGCAAGTGGATCTCTTTGAGTTCAAGGCCAGCCTAGTCTACAAGTGAGTCCAAGATAGCCAAGGCTACACAGAGAAACACTGTCTTGAGAAAAAACAAAAACAAAAGAAATGGGAAAAGGGGCTGGAGAATGGCTCCAGCAATTAACAGGACTAGAATTTGGATTTCATTACCTACCCTAACAGACCAGTCTTTCCTACAAACACAGCTTTTTGAAAGGAATGGGGATGGGAAGATCAACAGAGCTTGCTGGTTTCCGGCTTAGCTGAGAAAGCAGAAGCTCCAAGTTCAGGGAAATACCCTGCCTCAAAAGAATGGGTAGAGCCTGACAGTGGTGACATACACCTTTAATCCCAGAACTAGGGAGGCAGAAGCAGAGGCAGATGACCTCTGTAAATTCAAGGCCAGCCTAGCCTACAGTTAGTTCTAGGACAGCCAGGGCTACACAAGAAACCCTGTCTCTTGAAAAAAACAGGAGAAGGAGAGACAGAGACAGAGGACACAAAAGATCCTAGCCTCTGCAACACAAATAGCCACATACATAAATGTGTATGTGCGCATATGAACACAATTATAAGCCTTTTCTTTCTTCTTGTTTTTAAGAAATAGGATTTGACTTTAAGCAACCTGTCAGGGACACTCTTTAGGAGGTTACAAAGCTAAGCGGAAATTCAGATAATCTGAACAAAGAGCCAACAGTCCATGTCAGCACAGCACACAGCCTCGAAGCCAGGGTCTGTCACCTCTGCACTAAGGATGGTTAGCAGCAACCACTAGCTGTCCGGAATGCTGCTTCCCCAAATTTATGACAACCTTCTCCAAATATTTCCCTAATGGGCAATCCCTTCCTACCATATGAATCATTCCACCATAGGCACCTCTTTGGGTCAGGGATGTAGCAAATGTGCAGACCCCTGGATTCAGACCCTACGCACACCAAACAAGAGAAAAAAAAAATCTCTTTAGCCATTAACTTTATGAATATCCACAAAATATTTCCGTTGGAAACATAAAAGTCAAATAAGTTAATTTTCCAAACTGAAGAAACAATCACATTTTTTTCTCTCCAAGTTATTTACTGGCTAACTGTCTTGAGTCCCCATGAAACCTTTATGTCTAGGTTTACTGGGAAATTTGAGTAAAAATAGGGCAGATGACTTCACTGTTAATAAAACCAGAAGTGCTAATTAATACAAGAAGGAAAGCCTGGAAAGATCCCAGTCCTGCTGACAGCCCCCTCTACCAACTCCAGAGCCCACTCAAGAGGAACCTGTCAGCCTGTGAACTTAACGAAAACTGTACTGAGTGTGGAATGTGGAACACTGCTCAACTACTCCGGCATTAATGCTTTATATTAATTCTGCAGCATTAATAAACATATCTGAGAGGCACCACTAAATAATTCCCTTTTTTTCCTCTCTCACATTCACACAGACACACACACACAGCCAATGAATGTGGACTAGAGATTATATGCAAACACAAAGAGAAACACACAACCTGTGGAAAAAAAAACTAAAAAAAAGGGAACCCTGTTCAATAATGATTACTCAGAAAGCTCTCACAAAAAGAGGAAGCCAGAGTCAGGTGTGGTGGCACATGCCTTTAATGAGGCAGAGAAAGTATGATCTCTATGGGTTCAGAGCCAGTCCGATCTACATAGCAAATTCCAAGACAGCCAGGGACTCAAAAAAAAAAAAAAAAAAGTAGCACATTTCTATAACCTATAACCCACTGGTCAGCCAGCCTACCTGAGTCTGAGAGCTGGTTCAAGTTCGGCAGGACTTTATCTCAAAAAATAAGACGGAGAACAAAGCTCAAGGAAGAAACCTGGCATTGATTTCTGGCCATGCTAATGCACACACAGGTGCAGACATGCAGGTGTGCACACATGCCTGCAAATCCTATTCAAGGCTAGCTCTGAGCTCACAGAAAGCAAGCAGTGACGGTAGTAAGGTTCTTTCTCTTACACACAGGACTGCCAGATAAAGAAAAAAAATATTCTTACAACCTATTTCGGCACTATGAAATCCTTTGTGTACACAGCCGCCACATACATTTACATACAAAATCACATCAATTTTCGTAACACGAGCTTTAACCCCGTTCTTCAAAATGCCTACTTCTTTCCACTAATGATCACTGCTAATGACTACTTGGTGTTTTTGTTTTTTGAGAATTGGTCTCACTGTCTAGGCTGACCTCAAGCTCACAGCAATCCTGCTTCACCAAGCAAGTGATGGTATAAAGGTGTTAACTAACATGCTTGGTCACCTATTACGGTTTCTTTTTTTTTTTTTTAAGATCTATTTATTATTTATACAACATTCCGCCTGCACACCAGTTCTTACTATAGATGGTTCTGAGCCACCATGTGGTTGCTGGGAACTGAACTCTGGGCCTTCGGAAGAACAGCGAGTGTTCTTAACCTCTGAGCCATCTCTGCAGCCCCTATTACAGTTTCTTAAATGATGTTTGTCTGCATGAGAACACATCAGTGTGAGCACCCTCGGGATGCAACAGAATGAGTTGCATTTGGTTGTGAGCTGTGCAACGTGGGTGCAGAGAACCAAACCCTAGTTCTCAAGACCTGTCCAGTCTTAACTGCTTCTTTCCAGCTAACCATTCTTGAACTCTATGCAAAGTTCATTAAAATGATGTAGGTTACATTTAAGAAAGAATTTATCTAACATGTGGGTGGAATGTAAGCTAGGAGTTACAGAACAAATCGTGTTGCCCAGCAAAGGCGAGAGCTGGTTTGTTTTGTTTGTGGCACTGGGGGTGTAACCCAAGGCCTTGTATATACATAACAATGAAAGAATATCTTTTAAAATGGTTCACTACAAGTTTAAGGAAGCCATGATTCTGACTAAATAAGAATATCTGAAGGTGTACTGAGATTTGCTGTTCCTTAAGTTTTACTGTGGGTGTTTAATCCTGTTGTCTTTCAATGAAACAATCGAATTTTCTTTCCTTGAATGAGGCAGGCATTACTCCCAACAAAACTATTTTTAGTCAATCCACAAGACACCTATGAAAACATCGAAAAGCTTCAAAAGCCCACATTCCCTTCTCCAAAGATCTATTATCACAAAATTCTCGGATTTCTGTTACCATCTGGCTACTACCTATAACTACATATGATTTTATAATTCTAAACAAGTGTGTGGGAGGCCGTGGTAATCAGAGGGTGCTGCTCTGCTCCCTGCCTTGCCAGAAGTTTAGATACGAGGACACACATAAATAACGGTCTCCTTTGTCTTCTCTGAGCTCCTTGACTGTGCCCCACGACGGTTCCCCAAAAGCATCCGAACTGAACCCGAGGCCTTCAGCGCTGAGTCGCCAGAACGGGCCGGGAAGCAGCGGTCACCGCAGCGCCGGATCAAGTTCGCAGCCCCGCGCCCACCCTGCAGCCCTGGCTGTGCGGCCCGCGGCGCGACTTCCGCCTCCCGCGAGGCCGGCGGACTCCGGGGCAGAAGTACTGCGAAACCCGGCCGCCCCGCTGCACAGGGGGCCCGCGTTGGCCGCCGCATCGTGCGCCCTCGCCCCTGCCGCCCCGCGCCCTACCTCGGCCGCTCGGAGCCCGGCTCTCAGAGCACCCAGGGGCCGCCCATAGGCAGGAAAGCTCCCGCCCGTTCCGCTCGCTCCCGCCGCGCCTGCTCTGGGCGGCCCAGTCCGGTCCACGGCAGAGGGCCGGCGGCGGCTGAGGCTCACGCCAACGCCCGGCTCCAGGGAGCCCTCACCGCGCACCGGGAACGCCGGGGGAAGAGGCCGCCACAGCCCCGGAATGCGAGCTCCGCACGCGCAGGCACGCTCAAGTATCGCGAGACTGGCCGTCCGGCCTGCGCCGGATTGCGCGTGCGCGGAACGGACGAGGCCTGTGCAATGACTGCGGACCCGCCAAGCAAGGGAGTGCGTGGTTTACTTAGGGGGATTTCGCAGTGTCTGCCCAGTAAATTTCTCAGAATACAGGATTGCTCAGTGAGGCAGCCAGGGTTGCGTTCCAGAAGCCGCTTTTCACAGCTGTTGGTGAAAGAGGTTTGTCCACGTCCGTGTGCTAGGGACTTCACGCTGACTAAAGTTTAAAAGACTCAGTGTCTTCCCTGTTTTGTTATGTTTTGTTAGGACGAGATTGCCCACCTCCAAGCATGAGAACATTGAGATGATGGTGTTAGGGCCCTATGACATAGGGTATGTAATAATTAACAGCATTCTGTGGGATTCCCCACATCATGTATTTATTTATTTAATCCCTGACATCTCTAGAATGTACCATACCCTCCCATCCTCAAAGAGCCCCAGCCACTAGCCTAATTACATTTTGGCCATAACTCTTTCCTTCTGAGTTACTTTATTGTGTAATTATCTTGCATTCAGGTAGAGTTCTTAACACAAATACATAACACGAAAGTGACACTCTTCCAGTACTCCAAACTCAAATAGACTTTCAAGGAAAAACCGAAACCTGTCCAGCAGAAAGCAACAACCCTCCTTCCTCTCAGGAACTGTGAGAGCAGTAAAACAGCCCCTCCCTCCAAAGCTCCCTCCAGTGAGCCGTCATAAACACAGGTTTGGTATTTTTGTTTTGTTTAAAATAAAAAACCAAAACAGAGCCACAAATCCCAGAGCTGCCCGAAGAGACTCTTGTCCAGCAGAGAGAACCACTCTTAATGGTTCTAGCAATGGTTCTGCTCGAATGGGCCTTGCTTTGGCCACAACTCAAGATGCCCCTTCAATGAGGCAGCCTATAGCCACATCAGAGGACAGTGCTCAGATAAAGTGGATCTCACTGCAGCAGTCAGGTCAGACAGGAACACCTCCCCAGCTGAGAGCTTGACTATATAAATACCAGTCCCTTTCATGCTTCTGGAAGCAGTTGGTGAAACTTTCTTCATGGCAAGGCTCTGTGCTGCAACACGGGCCTCAGTGAAGACTAGCCTCAGTGGTCTTGTTGGCTCCTGGTAGCTCTGACTGCTGACAGAGTGGGTCTAGGGGTTGCAGGAAGAACAGGTGAGTTGGGGCTACCAGCCCCAGGCAGCCCAGAAGCAGGTGATAGACAAGAGTACAGAGATCAGAATGCTGAGGAGTGAGACTGGAGGAGCACCATCCAGCTTAGAGAGGAGGAAGGCACTGAGTTGCTCCCTCTGGCTACTGAGGAGCTCTAACAGTATGTTGAAGGTACTGACACCTCCATTTCTGAGCTGTAACTGGGGCTGGATACTACGCCACTGGCACCTAAAGACCACACTTGAGAAGAGGGTCTTGGCCCTGCATTTGGAGTTGCTGTCTCCACTTGAACAGAGCAAAAGGACCTTCAGCTCAGGATGAAGCTTTGGAGGTGTCTCCACGCCATGCTTCATGGAATCTGCCTGCTTTGAGTTATGTCTGTCTATCAAAGAGAGCTCAAGACTTCGGCGTTGAACCCTCCCAGTACCATCTGCAAAGGAACTGGAGACAGATTAGCCACTGGGCAGCGATCTGTCTACATTCCTCCAGTAAAAACCCTGACCAAAGGCCAGGCATGGTGAACATGGTGGCATTCGCCTTTAATCCGAGCACTGGGGAGGTAAAGGCAGGAGGAGAATTAAAACAAAACAAACCAAAAAGATGCCTGTCTCAGAGGTGCATGATAAGCCTGGCAGAGGAAGAGACAGGTGGTGAGTCTCTGTGAGTCCAAGGCCAGCCCGGTCTACAAAGCGAGTCTAGACAGCTAAGAGTACACAGAAAAACCCTTTTTAAAAACCAGGAAAAAAAAAAAAAAAAGATGCAGATTATGTATATGACCCACCCAGCCAGCCAGCCAGCACTTGGGAGGCAGAGGCAGGCATATCTCTGTGAATTCAAGGCTAACCTGGTTTAAAAAGCAAGTTCCAGGCCAGCCTGGGCAACGCAGTGAGACTCTCTTAAAAAAACACAGAAAGATACACCAATGCTAACACTTCTCTTAGATGTATACAAATATTAAAAAGGTGAGAGAAAAAGCAAAAGACAAAGCATTCAAAGAAAAATAATCTGAGACAAATGCAGACTGAATTAACTTTATTCTGTAAGGAATTTGAAGAGCACAAACAATATTGCATTAAAAAACAAATCAAAATCTGTACATCATTCAAACTTTAAAAATCAGTCAGTATCGACACTAAAAAATGTACTGAGCAATTTCATCTTAGAACAAAATACTATCAATGTTTTATCACAACTAGATACACAAACAGAAAATGCGAAATGATTAACTTGTGAATCTCAAAAGGGGCCCAGTGAGTTTCAGGGAGCACCATTGCACCAGTGTGGCTGCCACAGACCCTGCAAAGTAACAAACTACACCTGGGTGACAAAGAGAAGCAAATAAATAAACCAAGGCAGGAAGAAGTGCTCACGACTGGATTCTAGGGTAAAGTTTTGTTTCATTTTGTTGTCACAGATATCTCCTCTATTTTCTTGGAGTGAAGTAACTGGGTATGTAAAGGTCTAAAAATATTTACCAATTACATTTTACTTTTCCAGTACAAATAACCTCACACTTAACAAACAGGATGCTTGTCTGTCAACGGCTATTAACTGTGTTAACTTTTTGGATTGTTCTTTAGATTTAGTCACTGTAACTACAGACAACTGTCAGCTGCCATGTGGGTGCTGGGAACTGAACCTGGGACCTCTGCAAGAGGAGCAGGTGCTCTTAAACACTGGATCCCCTCTCTAGCCTCAAAAGTACTTCTTTTAAGAACTACAGTATACTCTTGTCTTAAAAACAACCTCTAAATCAAGAATGTATACATATATGTTTGTTCTTTTTTTATAAGACAGGGTCTCACTGTGTAGTTCTGGCTGGCCTGAAACTCACAATGTAGAACAGGCTGGTCTTGAACTCAGGAACCATCCAACCTCTGCCTCTCGAAAGCTGGGCTTACAGGTGTGCGCCATCACACCTGATTCAAGTCAAGAATAAAGAACTTTTCTGTCTCCTAAAATTTAAGGAATGTTTATTTAATATCTGATAAAGCTTTTTTACAATAATATGAAGTTTTCATATATCAGGAGTCTTGAAAGTAATTTTAGGTAATCCAATTATAGTCATTCACAATTACACTCCAAAGGTCCTAAAGTACAATTCTTGGTTCTTTGTGCACTAAATTTTACTAAGAGATGCTGTAGCTTGAAACTTAAATACCATTATTTGATGTAATTTATTTGTTTACTACATCCACTTACATGCGTATGTGCGTGCGTACATTTAGCGCATGTCAGAGAACAACGTGCATGTTCTGCTATGTTGACCCATAGCAGGGACCGAGCTCCGGTGAGCAGGCTTGGCAGCAAGATCCTTACCACTGAGTTATCATCTGCCCAAGAAGCAGTAGTTAACAAAAATGTTTTGTTTTTTTTTTCTGGTGTCAACCTTGGACACACTTAAGCAAGTGTGTTACCGACCTATACCTCCAGCCTTGCTTGCTTTGTTTTCTGACATGAGGCTTTATTATGTAAGGCTGCATCAAATTCATGATCTTTCTGCCCTGCCTAGTGGGTGCTAGGATTACAGGCATGCATTACCATGCCTTGTTTTAAGAGGGGGGAAATTCACACCCCACTCAATCGTCCTGAAGGAAAATTAGATTTAAAGTATTAAAGTATTTGTATGTAGTGTAATATAGATGTTGAAAGAAGCACTTCTGAGGTAAAGGAATCGTATATAGTATGGATTGGCCACAATCACTTTCTCCAATGTAAGTCAATAGATGAGTCTGTACTTAGGCAAAGGCCGAGGATCATTGAAAACCTGAAATAGTAACACTATTCTGTCCACTATGATGCAGCGGACAGAAGTGGAGGCCTGAGTGTAGTAAAAGCAAACAATAGGAAGGCAGGTGCGGGATCATCACAAGTTCAAAGCCAGCCCGAGCTCCACAGGGTCTCTCTCTCAAAAGTAGGAAATAAAAAGAAAGAAATGCAAAAGTCCCATTATGCTATTTATCTTTAATTGTAGAAAACCAATGCAAGCCAACTACTACCCATTTCTGATGAAAAAATTACAATAAAAACTCTGAACCTATTTTGTAAACTTCTATTATAACAGTCTTCCAGTTCATATGTTCCATTCAGTCCAGTAAGATTTGAACTCAAGAGGTGGCAGCAAAATATGACAAGAACTGCTAGCTTTCCTTAGGGGACCATCCCATCACAATGTCATTGAAGGAGGATAGGTCAGTGGCCCCGTAGTGGCTGGCATACTTTATTCTACATTCAGTACAAAATCCCAACGTTTCCAGATACTGAAGGTGTTGGTACCCAAGGTTTACATTATAGATCATTACACCCTGAAAACAGGTCTGATCTAAATGGAGTCTGGATGAGTGTGGGGTAGTACTTACTGACTGAAGGCTTCTTTAACACACACTGGATTCTTGTATTTAAAAAATAAGCAAGACAGAATTTTAACAGTCTTACTTTACAATACATTGTAAACTTCACAGACCAGCACAGGTACAAAGTGACTCCGATGTTTATAATACTTTGTATCGTCCCTTATTTGTTGGTTGGTATGAATTTTGCTATAATAGAAAATAAAAGAGAGAAGGTTAGAAAAAGTACACACACAAAAAAGTAAATGTTTAAGATCATTTTTTTTAAACAATTTGGAAAACTATCAGACAGCTAAAATAAAAAGTCTATTGTTGGCCAGGTATAGTTGTCACGCCTTTAATCCCGGCATTCTCTTAAAGAGAATTCCAGGACAGCAAGGGTTATAGTAAAAGCCTGTCTCAAAAAGTAAAAATGAAAAGTGGGAGGGGGTTTGACACTGGTACTGTTTCTGTGTGGAGATAGAGGAACTGATCAATAAAGAACCTGTCTCTCTCTTCACCCCTGCACCTCTTTCCTGATAAGCTGGTCTACTACAATCATCAAATCTCTTTCTATTACTCTTCTGTGGAACAATCTCAAACCTACTACTATATTAGCAGTATGTCTTTGAGACAAGGTAAAATTCAATAACCCACACTGGCTGTGAACTTATGAGATCCTCTTGCCTCAGCCTCCCAAGCTCTAGGAATACAGGTGTGAGTCACCACATCTGGCTTAAAGTCCTGATTTAAAGGACTTGTCTATTATATTCTATCTCTCTCTCTCTCTCTCTTTTAAAGACAGGGTTTCTCTGTGTAGCCTTAGCTGTCCTGGACTCACTTTGTAAACCAGGCTGGCCTCGAACGCACAGAGATCCACCTGCCTCTGCCTCCCTGAGTGATGAGATATAGGCATGAGACACCAACACCCAGCTTTCTCTCTTGTTTTATATTTTCTTTTTTTAAAAGGTATGTCTCCCTTTAAGCTGGGCACATGAATTTAGTCCCAGGACTCAGAAGGGAAAGGCATGAGGATCTCTGTGAGTTCCAGGACAGCCAGGACTACACAGGGAGACCCTGCCTGCAACAAAAATAAATGAATAAATAAATACTCCCCCCAAATGAATTCTATAAATTGTAAATGGAATTTCAGAAAAGTCTCTACATATTTGTCCCTAAGACAACCAAGCAGATGCCCTTCCAAGGTACCTGCTGTATGAAGAGTTTATAACCCACAACTGGTACTTAAGATGCAATGATGTATCGGTTGCCCCTTAGAAATATCATCTGTAACAGGCTGCTCTTTTTCTAAAATTAAGTCACTGCCTAAACTTAAAAATACTGACGGATAAGCCCGGTGGTGGTGCATGCCTTTAATACCAGCACTCAAAGCAGAGGCAGGTGTGTCTCTGAGTTGGAGGCCAGACTGGCCTACAAAGCAAGTTTTAGTTTAAACAGAAAGGGGAAAGATACAGAGGAATTTTAATCCAGCAACATGGCAACTCTGATCACACCCAAAGACCTTCTACGTCTTTGTGATCCTGCTGGAATACAAATACACCCTTTGTATACACCTTTAATCCCAAACAATGAAGTTAAAGTTTGTAGAAGGAAGCACCCATGTTTTGAAAGTGATGTCTAATTGAGGGACAGACAAGTGACTAATCAGAGAAGATTTGACAGAGAGGAAAGAGAGGCTACTAAAGAGAGAGCAACACAGAAAGAGGAAGAGAGTAGGCAGCTTTACCAGGACAGTTATACAGAGAAAGGTTGCTGACAGAGAAAAAGCTAGACACAGGTAAAGACAAACTAGCCAGAGAATGAGAAGGAACCGGAAGACTAGAACCAGAAGATTAGATTGCTAGAGTTAGTTTGAGGCCAAGCAGAGCAATTCAGTCAGAAGCTGAGAGAAGCCAGTTTGAATCAACCAGCCTGAACAGGAGTTTGAGCTAGAATAGCTGAGTTGAACCAGCCAGTGAGAGTTTAGAAAGAGCTAGGAAGAGTAAGCTTATTTAGCAGTAAGTCTCAAAGGCTGAAACATTCTAGGTAGGCCTAGATTAGATGGTACGAAGGCTAAAAGCTTCCAGGATGACATTGTAGGTCCAGATTAGATTGTATGGATGCTAACTCTTCCAGGACTAAGCCTAGGCTAGAAGATGAAGGCACTAAGCCTCCAAGTTGACAATTACATCAGGCGAATAAAAGATACTTTAACAAATAGCAAACAGGTCTGTAAAGGAATGTACTGCTGTTACTTACATCAACAGACTGGCCTCTCAATATAATGCTGACACAAAAACAGTGAACAGCATATAATCACTACGCAGAGGTGAAAAACACACAAAACTAATCTTCAAATTTAGTCACAATGTGGCTCTATCTGAGGGTGATGAATAGTGACATGGAGGTCCTGGGCAGGCTTTCAGATAGTGTAATGGTCTTCATTTCTTTGTTTGGAGTGACTATTATAATTATATATCTACTCTAAAAGTTCTTCAAGATGTATCTTTGTTGAGACAGGGTCTCAAATAGCCCACCAGCCTGGCCTTGAACTCCTGATTTAACAGCTTCCACACCCTCAAGTGTTGAGATTACAGGTGTTCAGTTGGCAACATAGGGATTTGTGAGTTCCCTGCCTGTGTCTACTAAAGTTCAATGAAATGGTCACTACAGCAGGCCAGGCCTGCAGGTGTGTCTCACTCACCAGTCGGATCAGCTCTTCTTTTATGAGCCTGGTGATCTCCGCCTTCGCCTTCTGCACAGCCAGTTCATTGGCACCTGATGATTGAGTAGGAAACACACGGTTCATACAACTGAACTACACTGGCTGCCCCTCCACACTAAGGAGGTTCAGGCAGTGCATCACCTGCCCAGATAGCAAACTAATACAGCTGGTTTGCTTTCTAAGTTAAACTTTCACCAACAGACTTGAGTTAGTAGAAGTATGTCAGCCCGGTGCTCACTTGGACAGCACAGGCTGCAGAAGAAATGAGCATGGTCCTGCTCAAGGATGATACACAGTCATGAAGGGTCCCACGTTCAAACAAGACTCTGCCCTGAAAGCCGTGTCCAAAGCACAGTGCCAGGAGCACTCTTCACACTCCAATCCCACAAACAGACCTTTCAGCTTCATATTTCTATGGTTCTGAATTCCCCTAAGTCGAACCTCATGTGACACAAGATCACATGTTTCTTACAGTTGCTCCTCACTGTCAGTCCTTCCTCCTGTCAGTTTCATGCTGACCCGTGTTACATCTACAGAAACCCTCCTCTAACTCCAGCTTCTAGCAAAAGCAACAGTGCGTACTTTCAATGGCCAAGTAGATTTTCCGCTCTCCTTCTTTGGGTTCTTTGCCAGGAGGGAAGTAAGTCCCTCTGATGGTAATGGCGGCTTCAGAGTACTCACTGATCCTCTGCAAGGCTTCCTTAGAGGTGACCTTCCACCTCGCCGTCTGAAAAAGACAGGGTTGGGGATCACACCACAACATAAATCCCTGAGCTCAGAGAAGGTGAGACAATTCAGTGGATAAAGCTCTGAGACCTGAGCTCAACCCTGGAACTGCTTGTGGGAGGAGAAAACAACTCCTGCAAGATAGCCTCACTTCCAGGTGCCCACACCAACACCTGTGCCCCTCTCTCCAACAAGTAAGATGTAATACAATCAGTCTAAATTTCTGAGTTGAAAAGCACAGATTCAATGTCCCTCCTCTACAGGTAATAATCAACCAGTAATGTTCACTGAAAGATAATGCAACTTCAGAGGCTGGAGGTACAGCTCTGTGGCAGAGCATTCAAGTCTGGGTGCCTGGATTGTATCAAGTCCAAGGTTATCTCTCTAGTGCTAGAAAATAAATGAGTAGAGACCAATGTGGCATTGCACAGAGTGATCCACCACCTGAGGTGGGAGGAGGGGGCGCTGAGGTCATCCTTAGCTACACATCAAGTTTGAGGCAGGGCTACAATATGAGTACGAAGCCCTACCTCAAAATAAAGTCGACAAGACAGAACAAAAACAAAAGCCTAAACAAGCAGTTTGTGTGTCTTAAGGAAGGGATTCTGTTCCTAAGAAGCATTTCTACCTCACAAAACAAAAACCACTAAGTCTGTTACTTGCCTGTGGGAAGTCATTAATTTCTAACTCTTCCTCGTATCTCTTGAAAGATTCACTCTGCCCACCCTCCTGTCTCTCCTCTTCCTGCTTCTCCAAAGGCACGTAATTGAGCTTGGCATTGATCTTCTCAGCAAGCTGTTCCGCAATGGTTTTTGCAGACACCGTAGGAGCCAGAATGGTGCCGCCTCTGAGGATGGCATTGGTGGCCTGCTGCATCACATCCTGCGGTTTAAGAAGACCTCCAGTTAAACCTCAGCTGGAGACAGAGACAGGGCCAAGGACCTCACCACATACGGTTCTCCTTAAAGCCACTAATTCAGCTTAATGAGCAGAAAGCATCTTTCTAATGCAGTCGCTCACACATGCAATTTATCTGTGTATGTTCATAAGTGACAGTGTCATTTACCTCTCATCCTAAAGAAAAAAACAAACGGATGTTCAGTGGCCTACCATGTATGACACCGTACCATCACACTGATCATTAGCTAACTCTCAATAGTACACATAGCAGTTTTTCTAAAATCACATACTCTGTGACTACTAGGCATTTCTACTGCACAATGCTTGCGCTGCTATCATCAATGAGTCTTCCCCCACCCACAATGAACATCCAAACACTCAATAAATTATAGTAAATGACGCACTCAAAATGTTCAAAACACTGTCAGAATTAATTAAGCCATCCTTCTGCATGTTCTCAGGAGGCCGAGGAAAGGAGGTGACTGCCAGCGCTAGGTGCCTAGGGAACATATGAGACCTTAATAACACCTCAGTCAGGCAGTGGTGGCACACGCCTTTAATGCCAGTGCTCAGGAGGCAGAGGCAGACGGTTCTCTGAGCTGAAGGCCATGATCTACAGAGTGAGTTCCAGGACAGCCAGAGCTACACAGAGAAACCCTGTCTCAAAAAGTAAAAACACAACCAACCAAAACCACCCCAAAACCTCAAAATCCTTCCAAAACACAAACCACGTGAAATGTTTAAAGAAGAAAGCATCACTCGACTGCTTAAACATACTATTTTGAATGAGAACTAGTTGTTCATTTATCTGGGGAATTGTTTCTAATATCCAATAAATGCACCCAATGAAAGCGATCAGGGAAGAAAAAATTAATTTTTTTTTTCCAATTATGGTTGAAACAAAAATACAATAAGAGACAGGATCTCTTATTTAGATGCTTAGGGAGAAAAATATTTTGGAGTAAGTTTTTGGTTGTGTGTGTGTGTTTGGTTTATCAAGACAGAATTTCTCTGTGTAGCCTTGGCTGTCTTAGATTTGCTTTGTAGACCAGGCTGACCTGAAACTCAGAGATCTGCCTGCCTCTGCCTCCCAGAGTGCAAGAATTACAGGTGTGATCCACCATGCCGGGCTAGAGCTTTCGGTTTTAAATTACAGAATATAAGCACAGACTTTACCATTTGACTATATTTAACTAATCACAAAAAATCCAAAGTATGCTATGTAGTGGTGGCACACGCCTTTAACCCAGCACTTGGGTGTGAAAACCACATTTTCAGCATCAGGTCATAGGGAAAGCATCAGTATAGGGAAAAATTTCCGACTGTGGAGTACTCCAGATCGAGGATGCTCATCTGCTCCACCTAAAGCACCCATGGCATTCTTCGACGGGAATGTTTCTTGACTCCATGTGAACTACCCACAGCTCTCAGGTGCTTTCTAGAAGAGGCACAGAGAGAGAGAGATCTTCCGAAGGCCAGTGTCAGAGACTCTTGGACTGAGCATGATGCACTCCTGAAAACTCAGTATCTAGCAAAACTTGTCCCTGAGCTCAATTTAGCTCCTGGCAAGACTCTGTACTGAAAGCCGTGTCCAAAGCACAGTGCCAGGAGCACAGTCGTAACCCTGGCTCCTAGGAAGTAGAGATAGGAGGACCAGGAACACAGAGAGTTCAAGGCCAGCTTAGGCTACAAGAAACCCTGCTTTAAAAAGACATCTTCCATTTTGTGTCTTCACTCTGAAGGTGCCATGGCACAGCAACAAGAGCAATGACTAAGACTCGGAACAAATTACTTAATACCTGAGACTCGATGCCCAGGTTCTTCTGAGCATTGATCCTAAGAGCCAGTCTCTTGGCGATCTCCAGCTTCTCAGCATTGCCCGCAGTGGGAGCAGGCACACTGGATGTGCCCGGCGCAGCCATGTCCTTTACTCTCTTCTTTGAATTAAACATGCTTTCAATTTGTTCATCAATCTGGGGGGAGGGAAAGATGGATTAGTACACACTGTTAGAAATATTAATTTAGTTGTGGCTACTCAAACAAGAAATGTTCCCATAAAAAGCTAGAATTACTTAAATTTACATAAATTCAAACACATGGTTCAACAGAAAAATACAACAGCTTCTCTTTCAACAATCTACGTTGATGGAAAAATTTAAAATAAGGAAAGAATATACAATGTTACATGACTGACTTAGACTTCTAAGAGGCAGGGAAAACAGATATCAGTGTTGCTGATGAGGACACAGCGCAAGTGAAAACAGCAGGTGAGAAGTGCATTCACTGACCTATTCCAGGCTCAGGCACTAAACCCAGATGATTCTATGAAGAAAGTAAGTCAGAAGAACGGCTGAAACTCAAGGCCAGTGATTCTTAGATAGTGTTCCTAAAGCTGGACTCCCACCCCCAATTCATGAAGGTTTCTATTTCTTGTAAGACAGGATGCCATGTAGGTAGCACATACTGAACTCAAACTAAGCAAAGCTTAGGATCATCAACTTAAAAAAAAAAAATTATGCAATTTACTTTCTATGCGTTTGCTTGCCTGTATGTGTGCCACATACATCCTTGGTGCCTGAGGAGGTCGGAAGGGGATATTGGATCCCCAGGAACTGCAGTTAGGGGTGGTTGTGAGCCACCATGCATATGAAACACAGAAGAATTCAATTCCAGGAATTTGATCCTCAGGAAGAACATCAACTGCTTTAAACCCCTGAGCTATCTTTGTAGCCCTGCCCTTGAACCTCTGATCTTCCTGCTTCCTCTTCCAAGTGTGGGAGTTGCAGGCTTTCAGGCAACACACTCAGTCCACGTACAGCTGGGACTCATACCTGGCTGCCATAAGCCAGCACTCTACCAACTGAACCACATCCCTGCCCCTTCTTAGCAGAAAAGAAAAACAGGTTGGTGTAGTGGCATATGCTTCTCTTCCCAGCACTCGAGATCGAGACAAGAGGATTACCAGCTGGAGGCCAGGGTGGGCTCACTTCCCCATGAGGCAAGAGCCAAGTCCTATGAACCTTAGTGCAGTTCCCTATCCTACCACCAAAGAAAGATCACCTGCTATTATCAGTGTGTGTGTATGCGCGTGCATGCGTGTCTGAAAGGACACACGGTGGAGCTGGCTCCTCCTTCTATCTTCATGTGGGTTCTGAGGATGAATTCAAGTAGTCAGGTTTCTATGGCAAGCGTCTTTACCAAGCCATTTCTCCAGTCCCATGTCTTTCGTTCTAAAGGCTGTCTTTGAACAGACAGGGTGTCGTACACCTACAATCCAGTCTCAAAAATGCTAACAGAAACGAACCAACAGCTGGTGACCTGGCTCAGGGGGTAAAGGCACGAGCCATGTTAGCCTGTTAACCTGAATTTGAGCTCTGTGGTCTACAGGGAAGAGGGAGTACTGGGTCAACAATATCCTTGGACTTCCACATATATGCCATGGTATATGCACGAACACACGCACAAGCACACAAAATTAATTCATAGAACCACCACCAAAAGGACAAAACAAAAGAGCGCAGCTTGCACCACATGACCTGCAGCACGACGAGGAAAGTCACAGGCCTGTCCAGATGTAGTGGGTTTTCATCTTCTCAGTCTCAAGGGTAGGGAAAGCTTACTGAGCATAAATTTAATTAATTTAGAAAGCTTTCTAATGAAATGGTCTCAATTTAGCGTCTTTAAAAAAAACATATATACATTATGTCTTATGGGGTTATAGCCATCAAATGGTTTTTATGATAAAGGTATTGGAACTGAACATTTAACTGGGTGAGGTTGTTTGAAATTATACAGCACACACGCTATTGAAAATCTAAATATATTAAATCAGAAATGAGGAGTGTGCATGGTATTAGTTCAAAATCTAACTTTTACTTTTCATTATTATTACAGCTATATATGTGCTGGGGGATGGCGCCCAGCATACCTCATGCAGGGGGTGTGAAGAGGGGGCTAGAAGAGGACAAGGGACACTCCCTTCAGGAGCTGGAGCTGCCTGCCTGAGGTGGGTGCTGAAAAATGAACTCTGGCCCCTACATTTCTTCATCATGCTGAACCATCTCTCAAGCCCCTGCTTAAGCTCTCTGTTCTTTCTTGCTTTTAAAAATCACATTTATATTTATTTTGTATGCATGTGTGTTGTGTGTGACAGTTTTAAAAACATGGTTAAAATTATGAGTGACTCTTCCCCTGAAAGTAGAGTGGATTTAATGACTTGATCATCACCACCTTTTATTCTTTTTCTTCTCTTTTTAGTCATTCATTCATTCATTCATTCATTCATTCATTCATTTTGAGGCAGGGTCTCAGTATGTAGCCTTGGCTAGCCTGCAACTTACTATGTAGAGCAGCCTGGCATGGAACTCAAAGGGATCCTTCTGCCTCCAGCATACTGAGTAAAAGGCTAGCTAAGCCCAGCTCTGACTGGCTAAGTTTTGAGTTGACTCACTATAATCAAAGAGCAACTTTACTTCCCTTTGAAAGAAATGGCCTGCAGGTGAAAGGAGAGGTACCCTGTCTGTGTGCAGTGTGGTCCTGGACCAGCCTTCTCTCAGGCTTCAGGGTCCTCAGTGTTAGGCTGAGCACACATGACTATTCTCACGGAGCTTACTGCAGCTGTACAACACAGTCTGCTGTGCTGCCCAGGCTGACCTTGCACTCTACGGTTTAAGGCCTCTGCCCAGACCCTTGAGCAGCCACAGGGAAGTCTGGCATCACCACATCTAGCTTGGGATAAAGTTTACTATGATGTGTCAACAAATGTCCTATGAGCAAGCACGCTGGAAAATTCCCGCCTTAACAAAGTTAAACGGGTTCCTTGGATTATCTTCAACTTCTACACTCAAGCAGAAAGACTCCCAGTACTTACATCAACTGCAGCATCCTCATCATCAGAATCTTGCAGGCCAAGAGCAGCTTTCTGCAATTTTTTCCTCTCGTTGGCTAAAGCCTGTTCTGTTTCATCGAACTTGAATCCCTTGCCAGAGAAGCCACTACTCTTTTTAATTATTTTTCCTTCCTTTTAAGAAAAAAGTTAACAAAGTTAATTTTTAGAGGAAACATTATTAAATATTTTCAAAGCACAATATGCCAACTGAACAAAAACACTTAAGCAAAAGAGATGATTCTAATTTCACTATTTTTCCTTCTAAAAAGGTAAGATGTGCACCCTCACTATGAGCACTTGGAAGGTAGAGGCAGCTAAATCTCTGAGAGTTCAAGGCCTGCCTGGTCTATACACCAAGTTCCAGGACACCCACTGCTACGCAGAGGGTCCCCGTCTCAAAAAACAAAAGAATAGCAAATAAAAAAGAAATACATGAACACAGTTATCAAAATACCCAAGTACCACACAGCCACATCAGTAATTCACAAAAGGAGGTTTCAGGACTTGCCGCTTTCTGTTGATCTTTGAAGTCACTCCAGAGTTTTTCTAGGTCAGGAGGCACTGCAGTCCCTGACAATTCAAGAGCTTTAATTATGTCACCGGCATACCGAGCTTGATCTTCTGTGATGAAAGTATAGGCATAACCCTAATGCAAATGAGGAAGTACAATTACATACCATGAATCAAAACCAACACACAAAACCCAGTAGCTTTTGTTTAAACCAATAACAAACTTAATCACAAGAAAAAGAGGAATACCACATTCATAGAAGCATTAAAAAAAAAAAAATCTAAAAAGTGCCTAACCAAGGAGGTAAAGACGTCTACAATGAAAACATTACAACACTGAAGAAGAATTTCATCGCTACGGTGCTTGCCCAATATGCACAAAGCCCTGGGGTTCCATCCCCACACACAGCTAGAGACAACTATGCAAATGAGTTCTAGGCTTACCTAGGCTATATGAGACTGTCTCCAGAGAGACAGAGAGAGAGAATGAAGAATATTCTACAAGATTGAAAGACCTTTGTAGTTACTGACAGTAATGTGACACTGCCACATTACTGAGAAGTAATCCATAAATCCAATGCAATACCCAGAAAATTCCAACGATATTCATTATCGGAGAAAAACAATCCTAAAATTCACATGGAAGCAAAGAGAATGACAGACGGTGAAAGCAATACTAAGAAAATTATTTATACAGCATAATTCAGTCTTTAGCTCAACAGAGATTTTTGACATCTCTTTGAAAAATGAGATGGTAAAAGCTGTATGGCATTGTTTCCGGGCCCTCTATTCTCTGTTCTGTCTGCATCCCTATTTTCTTGTGTCAATATTATGCTGTGTTTATCACACTGGCCCCGTTTTATAATCTGAGGTCAAGAATAACGGAGCAGCCAGAGTAAGAGAACAAACAAAGGTAACATTATCAAACCAGATCGGCTGAGGCTGCCGTCTTGAGTTCCTGTCTGAGAGCCCAGGGTGGAGCAGAATATCGCCTCCAGTGAGGTTTCCCACTAACAGAACAAACAGCAGCAGGAAGGTAACACCATTCAATCGAGCCCTTATGAACCCTCAGGGGACACGGGGAAAGTTGAGGCAGGTGGCTGCAGTTCCTGGCTCAGTGTCCTCTGGTCCCTCCATGCATGAGCTTCTGCCTTCTATCTGCTATAAGCTTTTACATGATGTTCTAAAGACAGCAACTCTGCTGGAGGTGACCTGCTCTTGTTTACGGTCTTTCTTCACTGTCACAGGGCAGTCCTTTCCTGGACAGGTGGTTTTGCAGGACATTTTGAGACAAAAATGCTTGGGAAGGGAAGGTAGACACAGCTCTGCCTCCAAAGATAGCTTCTCCATGAGCTCACAAATAACAATTCAACAATATAATGTCCACTACAGGTACATACAAGAGCTTTCCAAAGGGACTCCACCAGCACAGGAAATAACCCCACAAATTGGTAAATGGTTTCACATGAGATTAAAAGCTGCTTCACAGCAAAGGAAATAATAACCAGAATTAAAAGACACCATAAAGAATGAAAGGGAAAACATAATTAAAACCTATTGTATGAAAAAGAATTTTAAAATAAGTAAATAAAACACTAATGCAAAGGAAAAGTGAAAGGGAAAATTTTGCCAAATATACTTTAAAAAGAGTGCTAAGATCTAAGACATGCAAAGAATTGATAGAACTAAACAAAACAAAGCCAGATATACCTATCAATAAACAGGCTAATGAATTAATAAACAGGTCTATAAAATAAGAAGCCCAAATGGCCAATATGTATTTATTCTTTACTTTCATATGCATAAAAGTCTATACATGTGGAGAGATGGCATGCAATTGTGAATAATGTAGGGGTTTCTGTCACTTGTTTTTTTCCTTTCTTCCTTTTTTTTTTTTTTTTTTTTTGAGGCAGGGTTTCTCTTTGTAGCCTAGGCTATGGAGGAACTAGCTATGTAGGCAAAGACAGGCAGACCTCTGTAACTTGAGGCCAGCCTGCTCTACAGAGCAAGTCCAGGGCTCTGTTACACAGAGAAACCCTGTCTCAAAAAAAAAAAAAAAAAAAAAAAAACAGAAACAAACAAAACAAAAACAACAAGGAAAATCTAATATATCATTATTAATATTTCTTACAACAAAACACTCTGAGGACTTCAAAAGAATTTTTTTAGGGGTGGGGGAGACTGAGAGATGGATCAGTGGTTAAGAGCACTGACTGTTCTTCATAAGATCTGGTTCATTTTCTAGCACCAGCACTTCTGTGTTGCTCACAATTGTCTTAACTCCAGTTCTAGGGGAGCCAACACACCTTTCTGACCTCTATGAATAATGTATACACATGGTTCACAGATATATGTACAGGGAAAATACCCACACACATAAAAATTACTTATTTATTTTTCAAAAAGGAATGATTGGCTGGGTGTATGGCTCAGTAGTGAGGTACTTGCAAGGGTCCTGGGTCCCACCCACAGCACTGAAAAATAGGAAAAATATTTGCTTTTATACAATCTGCACATATACAATCTGTGGATCGTCCTGACAAACTAAGGTCTCATTATTCCCCAAATGAAACAAGAAGAGGCCTTAGAGCAGTGGTTCTCAACCTGTGGGTCATGACTCCTTTGAGGTCATATATCAGCTCTGCTGCATATCTAATATTTACATCATGATCCATAACAGAAGCAAAATTTCGTTATGAAGTAGCAACAAAATGATTCCATGGTTGGGGTCAGCACAACATGAGGAACAGAATTAAGGGTCGCAGTGTCAGGAAGGATGAGAACTCACTGCCTCAGACTATATATCGACTAGAACACGGTCAATCCAAGAATGCAAATAACAAAAAGCAATGAAACATCCTGAGTTACAAACAAGTGTTTCTATGTGCAGAGAGAAGCAAAGCTACAGACACAAACTACTACCTCACTCGCTAGTGAGCTCTGAGGTACCTGATAATCTTAATTTTGTTTTTAAATGTGTTACGAGTGTTTTTTCTGTGTGTCTGCATACCATATGTAGGCCTGGTACACACAGAGGCCAGAATATGGCATTGGGATCTCCAGGAACTGGAGTTAGAGATGATTGTGAGCCACAGTGTGAGTGCTATAAACAGAACAGAGGTCCTCCGTCAAAAGGAGCCAATGTTTTTAACCAAAGCACCATCTCTCCAGCCCCAAATTTGATAATTTTAACATAGAGGCACATGTGTATGTGATTAATAACATCTAATATGTTCTATTTAAAGATTTTCAAAATATTACTGTAACCTGTTATCTTTTCCTTAAACTTAACCCTGTGCTGTAATGTAGACATGATATGAAGACTTTACCTTGTTGCCTGCTCTTCCAGTACGCCCAGCTCTGTGCACATAATCTTCATAATGGTTGGGACAGCTGTAATTTACTACAAGAATGAGATGTTTCACATCTAGACCACGAGCGGCAACAGATGTGGCCACAAGAAGTTTGCAGGTTCCATTCTTAAAGTCATTTATGATGCTGTCCCTGTCATACTGATCAATACCTGCAGGTAAATTAAAAAGACAAACAGAAAAACATGTTGAAATTTCCATTTCCACTGAGAACATTCAATAAGAAACAAACTCAAGGCTGGGGTGATGTCTCAGTGGTAAAGAACGCTGGCTGTGTCCCAGAGGGTGCAGGGACAATTCCCAGTACCCATCGATAGCCGACAACCACAAATAACTCTGAATCCCTATTCTGACCTCTAAGGACACAAAGCACATACATGTCACACATACATACATTCAGTGAACACACTAATACCCATAAAATACATATATCTTTTAAAAATATCAACTAATTTCCAACTTTGTTACGGATAAATTCAATACACAGTTATATAGTAACAGTAAGATAAGAGTACATATCAGCCTCAGAAGGTAAAACTTGCTTACATAAAGAACCCTGAAAATCTTCTATGCTTCGGATGGCAGTGGTGAACACTTTTAATCCCAGCACTTAGGAAGCGGAGGCAGGTGCACTCTGTGAGTTTGAGACCAGCCTGGTGTATAGAGAGAGTTCCAGGAAAGCCAGAGTCACATAAGGAAACCATGGCTCGAAAAAAACGAACACATAAATAGTCGCTCTTGCAGCTCAGGTTCAATTCCCAGCACCTACTTGACAGCTCCAAAACCATGACACAACACACAGTAATATAGTTCATTAACAAAATCTTGTAAAAACAAGTTTTCAAGATGTAGAACCTAGAACCCAAGTACACTGATGGCAGGAATATAAAATGTAATCCCTTAAAAAAATCAATCTGTAATAAAAAAAAAAAAATCAATCTGATGATTTCTCAAAAATTTACACTCAGACTTCTAGGACCCCAGCAACTCCACTACTCAAAAGGAACTGCAGGGCATCAGATATCCACATATTATGTTTACATCATACACAACAGTCAAATAATAAAATCAGCCCAGGTCTCTATCAACAAGTGGATCAAAAGAAGATAGTAAATTTATACAAAAGGATATATTACCCAGCTTCTAAAAGAGTATCTAATAGATGTTAAAATATGCATGTTAAAATCATCAGGACTGACCGCATGAACCAGACGAAACACAAAAGGTTACAAAATGTATTATTTCACAGTATAAAGTATACAGGGTAAGAAATTCATAAAGACATAAGCTAGTATGAGCGTTACAATGCACAGGTGGAAGGGAGAAACAGAGAATAATTGCTTAACAGGTAGTTTCCATTTGGGATCATGAAAAGCTCTAGGTACAAAATGCAGGGAGATGCTTCTATGGGAAACAGTACCCATGCTACAAAAATAAAGAGCCAAGTTCAAGTCTCTAATGCTCATGTGAACAACCAAGCATGCCTCCTTGTTCCACTAACCTAGCACTGGATGCTGGAGACAGGTGGGTTCTGACAGCTCACTGGCCAGAAAACCTAGTTGGTACAGTGAAAGAGTCTACCTCAAGCAATTACACAAGGAGCAGCAGAGAGCAGCCTGCACTACCATAAAGCTGGAATTTTGTAAAACCAGAGTATGACTGTCTTATTTCTTCTACTCCACTACTAACAACAAAGCAAACATTATTTTTCGGGGCTCAAGACAGTTCTTGGCAAGTTAAATACTTACAACATCCTTGTGGGTAAGTTAAGTAAACATCACTACAGCTTCCACGATGGGATGTTTTCTATGCTTTGCTTTGCTTTGCTTTGTTTTGTGTGTGTGTGTGTGTGTGTGTGTGTGTTATTTTCCCTTGAGGGTG